GCAATGCTGGATGGGCAGCCTGACAGCAGCAGGAAAGAAGGGCCTGTGATAATGCTCCATCACACACTTGGGGTGAAGTAGTATGTCACCGGTGGAGCTGTCAGAGTAGCCACAAGGACTAAACCTGTAGTTTGTTATGCCTGCAGCAGCTACTGTCACAGTCAGGAGGACAGTAGATGGTGACATCCTGGGGTTGTAGTGGTTATCCATTTGTGGTTATACAGTGAATATCAGGCATGTTTCAAATGAGCATCATCCTTGACTTCAGTAAACTCAACATAATAAAATGTCACCTACCAGCGGCTCTGAAGCTAATTAACATGTTCAGATCTACAGTAACTCTTGCTAAGAAAGTGAATAAGCTTATTTCCCAAAACACCAAACTGCTACTCCAGGTGCTCCTGTCTGTGTACAATCTCTCAAACCATTGGCATGTTTTTCACACACATTACATTTAATACGAGCTTTGTGCTTGACACGCAATTATGGTTTCCCAAAAATGGTTTGGTAGTATGTAACAGTTGTAGGTAATTTTATTATCTGTCATTCCTGAAAGTTTCAAGCTGACCTGGCTGGAGGTTGGTTTTAAGAACCTGAAGGTGATGATGCAACCAAGTGCACTGACTGTTCGACAGGCAGGAGAAACACAGAAGAGGGCGCTTGCATGATAAAAAGCTATTTGAGGGGGATTGCAGAAAAGTAGCCTATACCTCTTTTAAATCCAACTGTTTGGATAATCTTGCCTGCTTTTAATGTCTAAAGTATTTTTTCATTCTATGAATAATAGGGTGCAGTGTATTGTCAAGTACAACTGCACCAAAAACCTGGGAAAGTACACCCAAAACTTTTGAAATGACTCTATATACACACACAGACACACACAGCTTGTTATTTCTTCTTGACCCAAAAACTAAATATAGGCTACTCCAGAAATCTGTGTTAAAGGGAATCTCATCCAGACAGTAAATGTTATGTGACATGTGTCCAGCAACCCCCATGCTTTATAGAAAATAGATGTATTGATGTTTAATGATATATTTCATGAGTAGGTTGATACATTGTTAGTGATAAGGCATTTTCAGTGAGGCACACACTACCTGCCATGTTGAGAGCAGCATTACTCTGCTGCAGAGAGAAGCCACTGTCATCTGCAGTGAATATATTTATTTTTTTTAACATTTGGTTTTGAGTTTGATTCTGTTTTATGACAGCTGTCTCCTCTGTCTTCCCCTCACAGACTGCTGAGACAAGACAGAACATAATTCATACTGAATAATTTAAGGACAAAGTTGTGTGTAAACTGGGAAAGTTTCTTCCCAGTGTTGGTGGGGAAGAAGTTGGGGGGAAATTCCACCACTCTAATTTTGTATTTAGGCTACTTTACAACCTGCAAGGACAAGTGGTATTTACTATAGGGGGGGAAAAGTGATGGTAAACAATGTAGTTGCCTAAAATATTTGTATTATTCTAAAGGGTACTTTATGTTTATGAATCCCACACACACCTTTTTAGAATTTATTGACCATACTATGAGTGTGTGTAACATTTTCTTTACTTACTAAATCTTCATGTCATCTAATAGTTATCTGTATTGAGGACACTGAATGGTGTCTTGTTTTGAATAGGAAAAACAGATGGGTGACACAGACGGACCACCATTATCTGCCTTAATAAGGTGTTGGACCACCATGAATTGGAAGAACCACGTCAGAGAGTTCTACTGTGAAACTGGAAGGTATCAAACAGAATTCTGTGGGCAAACATGCTGCTGATGAGTTGGCAGATGGTGTCTTGAGGCTTCTCCTCCCAGACCTGGATCAGGGCATCACTGAGCTCTTGGACAGTCTGTGTCTTGGTGGCATCAGATGCACGGATATATAATGTCTCATAGGTGCTCAGTTGTATTTAGGTGACAGCCAGTCAATGGCATAAATGCTTTCATCATCCAGGAGCTGCCTACACACAGGCCACATGAGGCCAGGCAGTGTCCTGCACCAGGAGGAACCCAGGGCCCACTGCACCAACCTAAGGTCTGACGGTTGCTCTGAGGATTTCATCCAAGGATATGCCTTCCCAGACCATCACTGACCCACCATCAATCCTGTCATACTCGATTATGTTACAGGCAGCATGATGTTCACCACACTGTGTCCAGATTCTTTCACGTCTGTCACATGACGTATGAACCTGTTCTCATTTGTGAAGAGAACAGGGCGCTAGTGGCAGCCCTGGCATTCTCTGGCAAATGCAAGTCGAGTTGCACGGTGCTGAGCTGTAAGTACAGGTTATACTAGAGGATGTCGGCCCCTCATGGAGTCTGGCAGTTTGCACACCAGTAGCTGCTGGAGGTTATTTTATCGGGCACTCGCAGTGCTGCTCCTGTTCCTCCTTGCACAAGGAGTGTAGCAACTATGGATCCAATCATCTTTCTACATCCTGAACATGTCAGTACGAGTTCACGTCTGTATTTTTGTTTGGATATAGTTGGAGACGTTTGACTTGATTTCAGCTCAGAAAAAGGCTGGCAAAACCTCTAACACTTTTTTTCATGTTGATTACAAGGACATTATCGTACAGTAGAATTAATAAATCTCTGAATCAGACTGACTTGTAAATTGTGCAGTAACCACTGGTTATATGGACCCAAATGCTTCTGATGTCTCAGCTTTGGGTTTTTGGGAATTCAACATTGATGAGAAAACTATCTTTGAAACCCAACAATAAGCCTGCTCCATTGTTCCAGACAGGATATTGTATTCCCACATGAAATGCTAGTCACACTCTTGTATCCTGCATTTTTTTTGTGGGAGTGTCAATAGTATGAAAATCATACATAATGTGATTATTTATGAAGAGTTTCCCTCAAGCCGTTGGCACTTAACTCCTTTCAACTAATCAGCAACCAACAGCCTGACTGTTTTTTTTTTTAAACTAACCTAAATGTTTGCTTTTAAATTGCAACCCTGACCACTGACAAAGTATAATGCTCCAAGAACCTTTATAAAAGTAGTAATTTTTAATCAATTTTCATTTAAGGCAACCCAATGCAGAGCATTTCACAACTCACCAGAGGACAATCATGTACAGTAAAAACCTGTTTAAAGAAACGTAGGGAGTCATGCAAATCAGAAAACTTGAGATAAAAACAGTGGGATTAGATAAAAATAAATTTTAAAAATGTTAACTGTACCATGCTAATTAGCTACAGTTTGTAACCATCGATAAGACAAAAGTTTGAAGAATCAGGCACAAGAGAGAAGAAATAGCAAACAGTCTACAGAGCTTACTGCCATGTCTGGCACTGACATGCATGTAATCTGGTTGGGCTGATTTCTATTTTACAGGTGGTGGCACCGTGTGTAAAACGCTTTCATTGTACCTCAAGACAACTCACAGTTGTTCCATCAGGCTATTGTACATCTGGGCTTTAAAAGGTTGAAGTTATAACAAGGGCTTGTTCATAAAACACTCCAAAAATATCTTCAGTACAGTAATAATCCTGAAAATGTATCAAACATAGAATAAGCACTCCTATAGAATAAAGTGCTGATAGATCTACTGTGTATGTACAAGCCAGCTGTTACCTTACACTTTACATTTTACTGTAAGTTCACTCTTTCTATTAACTGTTTTCTCAATTACACAATGCAAGTAAACTGTCAGCCATTTTAATTACCATAAACAAATGTTTGTTCTCTCTGGCAAAAGCCATGTTTATCCACTGAACTGCCTTTCATTGCAGGGCTAAATGAGATGGAGCATTTGCCTTAAACATCATTAAGGCCTTTTATTTTGCTACATTAAACATCTGAATAGAACCTTTTCAGCTCAAATGAATTCTGCTTCTTTCTATCTTGATTTAAAAGGAAAGGGCACATCTTAGTGTATGATTGAATTTGTTAACGCCAACTGTGAAACTGAAATATTTGAGAACAATGGCTACAGCAAAAGCGCAACAAAGATGGAAAAGTTCATTTACTAATGTTTAAAAAAAATGAAACAAGATACAGCTGTAGTTAGTGTTGCTTTGAACTAAAAGGTAACTTCCTCACAATGTCAGTGAGCTGATGTCAGTCGAGTTATTTCAACCATGTTCACTATCTTACCTTTGCCTTTTAGCATGCTAACATTGGGTAATTAGCACTAAACACAAGGTAATGCTGAGGGTGATGGGAAGTGCATTAGTTATTAGGTATTTGGCACAAAACAATGACCCAATGATGGATATTGCCACAGTCTGTACAAATCAGCCTCTGGAAACTGAATGTCTGAATCAAATTTAGCAACAGTCTGTTCAGTAGTTATTGAGATGATCTACAGCTTCGGGTCCACAAAGTGGTGGACCCACAAATATTCATGCAGCCCCACTAAAAAACAAAACAAAACAAAGTGGCAAATGAAGAATCTGTGTCCTGTGAAGATTCCATTTTGTTATTTGTGTATGACTGCTTTCACTTCATTTACTGCATGATTTTGAAATGCAAAGCTTAACATAAAAAGGACTAATGTAGCTACTGTACCATTATCAATTTAAGCAATGAGAAACAAATAGAAAAGGAAGGTTGGCATGACTCATTGTATCAAAACCTCTCCTCTCCCTGAGGCAGTTATAATTCTACCTGCTGTATGTGCCCTGTGGGCTTTCTGATCAAAAGGATACGGTACATTTGCACAGATCATAAATGTTTCTATTTTCATGATCTCTCCATTTTTGCAAAACACAGATGACACATCACTCTCAGGGATTGTTGTTGCATCATTGTACACGGATGCATCTCAAATTACAAGCTTCGCTACTGATGCAGTAAAATTGGATTTGACATGCTGAAGCCAGTTTGTTTATGGTTCTTCACACTGAACTGATGCCCCAGACGGCAGGAGGTTAGGGAAAGCCAAGATTAGTCCAAAAGGTTCGATTTACTTTGCGGTAGTGACAGATTGTTGAGGTTTACACATGAAAGAATTGCTTATGGACTGAACATAATGGACATAAAAGAGACTTGTAAACACAGGGGTGCATTCAATGAAAATCCTCATCCGGCTTTCAGATTTCCACCGATATGGGAGTTTCTGGGTTGCAGAGGTGGTGTGTATGGGATAGAATCGAGGCCAAATTACCTTGATATTGGACTGTGTGGCAGAAATTAGCTGTAGGGTCTATTTATTACAATATGAACAAATGATGATTGAGTGGTGCTTATTAGCAAAGATGGCAGTTGTCTTGGCAGTTACTTCAAAGTAATTGCCCACAGTGAGTCTGTGGGCACCCTGACCATGGTTGTTTTTCCATCAGCACAGCAATCTGAGCCAAGGCGTGCACCGTGGAGTGGTGCTGAGCTGCTCTCAAGGCAGCATGGTTGTGTTTCCACTGCACCATAAAAGCCATATTTGCTGCATCTTGATCCCATAGGGGCAGCATGAGCCCCTACGGGATCAAGCAATGAAATTACCAAAAAAAAAATGTCAGTGCCAAATGTGTAAGGACCTTCCCTCAGCACCACACTGAGGCCAATCATGTCTTGATGAGCCGGTTCTGTTGAAGGCAGCGCATGGTCCCATTTTTTCCTGGGCATAAACGGGGCTGACTGAGCACGAATCGGCACGATTATCCCCACTGCTAGGAACATATGGAAACGGAGGCCAACCCGTGCTCGTCCAGCTTGTCTCGATTAAAGCTGGCTGGCCTGTGCTGATGGGAAAACACCGTTTTGCCTAGTTGGTAATTCAGTAAATTCAGCCTTATGTAAAATGCCCTGCCTTTTTTCCCTCTTCCCCTTCTCCTCCCTTTACATGCTCAGTGTGTTACTTACAGTATATGCTGATGTATTTATGGTATATTACAAAATTAGAGTAGTGGATTATAAGAAATTTAAGGTGTTTTAAAGTAGTTATGGTAAATTAGTTAATGCTCTCATGCAACATTCTCTGTGATGCAAATGTACATTATATGTAGAGAATGAAAACCCTAAACACTGTATCAAACATTACTTATGTTGAATTGCATCTGCAGTATAAAGATATTTGATTTGCATGAATAAATTGGGTACTTGGTTCAGAATCGATGAATAGCAGCACTCCAAATTATTCTCGCATAACATGCGCTTTCAAAACATTTACTTAAGAAGAGAGGAGGTGATACCTCAAAGTATGAAAAGTCATGTTCAAAGTAATAAACTGTAAACTACACAACTGTAGGCTTTCCTTCCATCACAACTGATGCATTAGCAGATGTGGAGGTACAAATCCCCAAGTGGGGAATTAGATTTTATAAGGGAAAAGGCGCCTTAAACATACCACTGTATTAAGCCACACCAATGACTGACGAGCAAGGCTTAGGTCAAAGTTCACATGTCCTGATACATGTAGAGAAACAACCACATACAAGCACAAGTTTTAACCACAACATGACTGTTTTGAATCAACCTGCTGTCAAATTAGAAAGGAAACAGTCACTGCCTCAGTGTCAGTTAACAGGCTTTCACCAAGGAGTCCTGGGAAGTCTCCAGCCTCTCTTCAAGAGAAACCGAAAAAGAAACTAACAAAAATGCCGTTCTAGCGGTCACTGGGAGGATACAGCACAAAACTGAAGTCCCATTTCCTGGTGCATCATCGCCCATTTTTACCAAGAACAGTACGTAGAGAGTTCCTGCTGCCCTCTGAGTTGCTGCATGATGTCAGTCCTCAGTGAAGAGCCAAGATGAAGGGCGTCAGATCTGTGTGTGGTGGTGTGTGTGTCCAGGCGGTGTGTAGGGAGGTGGTTCCGGGTTGGGTTTGATCCCTCGGCTCTTCATGTATGAGATGAACTGGTCGGGGATCTCTGCCAGCACGTCTTTGGCGAGCCGTGCCATGCTTAATACATGATTGCCTGTCCTGTCCATATAATCTCTGAAGGGAACGAACTGAGAAAGAAAGGACGAAACGCTGGGATTTGTCACATTATCCAGAAGCTTAAATGTGCTCTTTTCCTAGACATATAAAATACTTGAAACCCAATTGTCAACATATGGTTTCCTCTAACTTAATGTGGTTTTTGGATTACTGCTGTGATTCATGAAAAGCTCTCAGTACAGTTTGACATACTCAGTTGCTTCAGGATCTGGATGGTATACTGAGTGGAGAAACCCAGAGTTGCTCATGTTTAAGCTCCACTGCTAACACTGTGTCATGTCAACATGCTGATTGTAAAGTTTGTTACCACCCTGGTTTCTCTCTGGAATGAGAAGAAGTGGAAAGATAAACTTTTCTACTAGAGTGTGAATGTTGCTTTGGATATTTCTAGTATTTGTCAAAGCGCATCAAGGTCTCCATCAGGTAAATGTTTCACCTTGGTGGTAAGGCAATTAATCTATGATCCAGCTCAAATCGTGATCAGTTTAACTAGTGCATGACGGCCAAACAAATATGTAATTGTGCTACTTCTGTTAAAAACACTCAGAGACCTTGCACATCATCATTTTCCCACGATCCGGTCAATTACTCATGAGATTTGACACTACAGAAACAAAGATGGAGCTGTATGAATGAGACCAACAAGGTTTTATGGTAGCAGAACAACTAAAAAAGCAGTATGAATGTACAATGCATAATATAAAAAGGGTAAATACTGTGTAACCCCAAGCTTCTTTAAACATTACATAAAAGACTATTTTCAAGAAGGCACGGTTGCAGTTGAGATCTGAGTTATCCCTTTAATTCAGTGATTTCTGAACCCACACTTGTTTTACTGTTCCTGGTCTCAACATCTACAGTGAGTACACTTGGTTTCTTTCAAGCTGTAGAAGACACTCACCTGAACTATGTCTCTTTCTGCCAGTTTCCCCCGGGATGAGATCCTGATGTCATCGCCGTCCAGCTCCACCATTGCTGGAAGGCACACATTAACATGAACGTGGGCACACACACACACACACGCTGCATTTTCATTCCTTGTGGGAATGTGTTAGGCTTAACCTAACCTTAACCATAACCACTACTTGCCTAAGACTTAGCCTTAAACCATGGTACCAGCCTAAAATCTACTGAGCCTCCACAACAACCCTTTTTTTCTAATGTGTGTGTGTTAAGGTTTCGGTCCCCATAATATAAGTAATACAAAGGCACAATGTGAGAAGCAAGCAAAGTAAGTTGCCTTTGACACAAAGACGAGGGTGACGTAAAGATTTATTTATAGTATCATATTAATACCAGTACGGTTTTTCTTTGGCATCAGTAGAAGGGAGATGGTTTAGCTGTACAACAGTAATGTCTTTACTGCATGTATAATCAACTAATAAGTTGTATATTAAAGTCTGTGCAGTTTAGAATTGTCTGTACTAAACATTGCAAACCCAGCAATTAACCTCAGCTATTCCTTCTACAATCACGCCAGCATCCACCTACGCATTCCCCTCTCCACTGACACAAATGAGTCTGTACAGTAATTTTCTCTTGGCTATTTCTCTGAAACGGTGTCAGAGAGGTCAGTGCTGGCTGTAACGCTAATAGGCTGTGAGCTGTGTGAATTAAAATGTCAGTGTTTTAATTTATTTAACTAACTTGACAAATGTGGATTGTATTAAAATGATGTAACACACCTGAAGTCTTGGAATGTACTGTATGTTGCATTAATTATAACTTTACCACAAATTTGACAATTTTATCCATGTAGCAGTTAAAAATAATGTGTACGTACCATCAAACTCAGCCTGACCCACTCCAACTATGATTATTGACATGGGAAGCTTGGCACCCTGCAGAGAAATTAAAAAAGAATGTGGGGAAAACAGTGTTTGTTTGTTTGTTTGTTTGTTTTTTATAAACAAGCAACACACAAATGAACATTTTTGTTTGTTCAACAGGGAGAGAGAAGCTTGTCCACATCACAACTGACCTGCAGTGCTCATTGCTATATGTCAGACATTATAGTAGCTACATGTTCACCCTCATAGGTTACAAGCACACTAATGTTCTGCATCATCCTTTAACTAGCTGAATGACCTTTAAATCAGAACAGATGTCCAGAAAGAGAGAGAGGAAAGAGGGTGAGTAAGAGACAAATGTTTTTGCTACTTAAAAAGGCAGGAGTAAGATGCTAATGCAAGCCTTCAATAGAAACTGGTTTTTGTCTCTGTTTTTCCTTCTTCCTGCTGTTTTCTGTCATATGAATGCTTCCCTGCTCTTTTCTTGGAATGACACTCTGATGGAGTTATTGCTCAGTGATTGCTGGTTAGGCTGAGGAATAAGGATCAGTCTGTGACAGCACGAGTAGCATTCTGTGAGATACTGGGCCAGAGGGTGAGGAGCATCAGAAATCAAGCTGTTTTGATTGTTCTTTGGTAATCTGCAGGAGCAATAAACTGGTTCCTCATGTAAACAATTTTCATAGAAAGACGTGATCAAATTTCAGCTCCAGGATTTCTTGCCTGGATTGATAAAATGCAATCCCAAAACCTTGCATTGACAAAGTCTAGGGAGCTGGTCAAGCTGAAAGGAAACATTTGTCCACAGGGAGTGAGTATGTTGACAAATGCCTTGACAAGGTCGGACATGGCAGGGGGCTCATGAAGATGGCATTTGTGAGCCAGGAGAGGAGGGAGAGAGAGGAGGTGCCAACTTCACTAAGTACAGCATCCATCCTCAGTCACCCACCCAACCACTCCCAACCACATCTCAAGTCCGATGACACTGCTGTCAGTCCCTCTACTGTAGAGGCTCACAGGACATTTCTCAAGTCTTTCATATGATCGTTCCAATTTCCTCAGTTGATGTGGAAGTCATTCTGGTCGACCAAGGACATTCCATGACTCTTGTATGGGTAGGGACGTGGGTGGGACAGATACGAGAGAAATGACAATCCATATAGAAGACTTGAGAAACACCCGCTGTCTCTAAACAAAAATAAAAACTAGATGGAAAATAAGTAGACACAGCAGAAGATGCAGCATATACAAAACTCTGTCCTGGGAAATGTATATTGATCTTATGGTATGCAGACTTGCATAGTGAGGATGTAATCTTGAATGATTCCAAATAAAAAGACTAGGAGCCTATAGCCAAGCTAACAGCTGTGCTGTACTTGGATACTGCAGTCCTTTAAATGCTAACAAAAAGTAGTACTACTACTAATGTGGTACATAATGTCAATACAAAATACTGTTTTCATTCAACTCTGCTTCAGTGACAGTGACTGCGTTACTGTCCGACAGTCCATGCTAGTCTCTGTTGTTGTAATTTCAATAGATGGCACCATAAATGCTCATTGTGAAAGCTGCTCTTACATGTAATGAGTTTTGTGGAGGCATATTTTTGCAGTGCAGTTAAAACAAGTGCAGTTTTTTTTTATCTCTGGCACTAGCCAACAGTATTGTGGCAAATCAGGCAACGTCCTATTGCCACCCGGCAATAGGACGTTTCTTTTGACACCACCTTAGCCGTAGTACATCAGTGTTCAACTCCTGTCGGTGCCTGTCTCTCCATGCACAAGCACTCATACGTGTATGTGTGTAGCTAGAGACATATGCGCACATCAGAACATCAAATGCCACCAAAAATAACCTGGCAATCCACCATGGCCCACTTTTACCATCACTCTGTCACGCTGACTTGCAGCTGAGATCCATTCTATTAAAACAACAAAACACAGCGTCAAGCAACACTTACCACTATGGATGTGCTACTTAAAGAGCTGCCTTTTTAACATGAAAATGTAACCTTGGTCTCTTTGCACAATAACGTAGATTTTCCAGGGTTTGACCATGAAACCTACCCTTAGCATTTGTAATTACATCGATATCATTATCGAAGTTTGAAAGTTATTAGTGAGTTTTCCATGGGCCATATAAATGTGGACATTCAGGATCACCAGACCCTGAATGTTACTTGGATCCAGATCATACTTTGGTATGTGGTAGATCTTATGTGGATGCTATTGTGTAATTTTTATCCAAGCCCTGTAGGCATTTTGTATGGAGTTAGAAGCAGAAATATTTCACCATGATGATTCCTTTAAAAAAAAAATCTTGAATCTGGATGATGACCCAGATCAGCTGCAAAAAAAAATCCATCTAAATCCATTCAGTACATTTTTGACTTGTACTGTGAACAAACCAACAAACAAGCGCTGGTACTACCTTCACCTTGTTATTCCAGCTTTTTAAATTGACTGGTTACAAATGAAATGCTGCTTTGTGTACCACTGTCTGAAATCAGTGATGCATACAAATGTATGTCCTGTGGTGAAACATTTCTATTGTAAGTCTGGGACTGTTAAACCTTGTGAGAATGGAAAGCTTGGCAGGCACAGCAGTAGTAAGTAGGTGCAGGTTCAGGGTGCAGCACAGTTACTGTCTGATCTTAAATTGATTACATGAGGAAAGTTGTTGACTCATGAGAGGAATAAGGCATGCATGCTCTAAGAACGATTACCAATGGACTTTGGATCCTAAAAGAATCATGTTTGAGCGTACTATAAATAGTTTATCCAGAGCAATTGACTTTGTGAATGTATGAATATCCTGCAGCCAATAATACTGTTTCTGGATTTAGTTCACTTCAAAAACAACCCAAACCATGTCTGTAAAAATCAACTAATTCATTGATAAACACCACATTACATAGTTAACTTTCTTTCAGCATTCTTCACCACTCTGTAAACTTTCACCAGTTATCCCATTACCAGTTACACAGCAAAGTCTCCAGTTTGGAAGGTAATAAAATGGTTGTGAAGTGTTTTTGGTGGGGCCTAGCACTGAAAGAGATGAAGCACAACACACTGACAGATAACAAGGAGAAAATGAAAAAGAAAAAAAACACCAGGCAGCAGATTATTTCATAAACAATATGGTGGGAAATGTATGGAAAGAACAGAACAAGTTTTAGATCATTAGGAGGCAACGAAATGGAGAGAGGCAGAAAAAGTCTGAGTGAAAGAGTTTCAGAAGCTGCACAGAGAGAATGAGGCAGAGATAGAGGGCTATGAGCAGGGGAGGGGGTTGCTACCTGACTGGCAGGTGGATGCTTTTGTGACTGATTAGCCACTACACGGGTCTATGTTATTGTAAAACATGAGACAGACGATTTCTATCCATACAAAACATAAAAACTAGAATTTCCACCTTGCAGTTGTATACCTTCCCCCAGCCAGTCACGTTGCAGTTCACATGCATGTCTGTCCAGACTCATGAAAATGAAGACTTTGAAAGAATTGAATAAAAGATATTAAATGCATTTTTTGACAGAATGGACTATATTGACATAAGTGATTCTAGTGAGTAACTTCCAGTGAGAAAAGTGCCGTCTTCACTTAGAGGACTGAGTTTTGAGAACTTTGTCATACTGAATCCAAGTGGACGTTTGTGCCAAACTTGTATAAATACCCTTGAGGTGTTCCTGAGATAGCATTTTCATGAGAATGCGATGGGCGGACAACCTGAAAACGTAATGCCTCTGGCCATGGCTGTCGCTGGAGCGGAGGCATAAAACCATCATGCACAAATGCAAACCCTCTCCAAATGTTGACATTAGTTGCTCTCACTCTTTTCTTTTTTTTTTTGGAAGATTCCTTCCAGCATGAATAAGTATTAGGAAAGACTTGTATAACTGCAGCGGTGTGTCCGCCCTCACCCGTGAACGGTTGAGAGCAAAAGGGAAAGCAGTGGAAGCGGCAAGCATAAGTAGGCAGTCAGAGAGATAGAGCAGCAGGCAAGATCTTAAAAGGAAGGTGTGGCTGTTCTAATGTTTTGACTAACAGTCGCAAATTCCCTTTAAATCCAGTCTGCTGGGTGTTCTGTGCCTGTGGCAGGATGATGGGGCAGAGGAGGGGAGAAAAGCAGAAGAGAAGAGGACAAGAAAGGAAGCCAGTCACCTGCTATTTAAAACTAGAAGAAAAAAAGAGGAAAAGTTTTGGAGAAAACTCCTGAGGAATACGCTGTAACACTGTGTTCTTTATTTACTGAGGCAACAACAAATGGTGTATTTCATAAATATATTCACTCTAGTTTTAATGTTTTGTTTTTTTCCTGCTAAGTTGATACAAAAATTGCTTCGCATGAAATAAAAGCATCACCTGCACCTTGAAATGCTTTGGTGTAGTTGTCAGGTACATCATTAGGCTATATATTGATTGAGTGTACACATGCACTACAAAGGTTTTGAAATGGGCAGTTAAAGCACAGAAAAAAGGGGGCTGCTATGTGAAGTCATCTGTAAAGCAAAAGAAAATTGGCATCATCCTTTAGATTGCTACAGTCACAGGTTCAGGTAGACACAATGAAAGTCTGGGCTTCATGTATGAGTGAGTAGTGAGTGCTAGAGCTCAGTATCCATATGAATCCACAACTGTCTTTTCCATTGCTCCAAAGAATAACGGAATAATTGATTAGTCAACTGACAAATTTGACATCTATTAAGTGTTTTTTTTTTAAGTTTAAAGCCAAATATTTGCTGGGTCCAGATTTTCAGATTTGAGGATTAAAGGCTACCAGGTCCTCTCCTGCCCTTGATTCAAGTACACTAAGCTATACTACTGCTAGCTGTACTGTCATATTTATTGTACCGATAGTGGTATACATCTCATCTAACTCTTAGCAAATGAGTAATCAAATTCCCCAAAGTGTCCAACTCATCCCTCAATAGTTAATGATTATTGATTTAGTATTTTTTCTTCAGGTAATGATATTGTTACCCCATTTTTCTCAATGTAATCCATTCATTTCACAGCATCATATATGTCATTAGCATTTTTCTTTAGTTCATAATTGAAGTGTTTCCCCACATTCCTAGTCTTACATTTACAATGGCCTCTTTGGTCTGGGCCATGTCGGAAATGACACCATCTGTGATGATGAGCAGCACAAAGTACTGAGAGCCGTCCTGCACCGCCGCTGCATACCTGCATGCACATAAACACACACACAAAGAAAAAAATTAAATGGCTGCTGTTTTAATTTTTTAATACAGAAACAAATGACTCAACAGTTCAGCTCTATATGCATTAAATATACTCTTTAAATATAATTCTGTGGTGTACTTCAGATAACAACCATTAAAATTCCTCATGATACACAAGGATTAATCAGTCCAAACAATCAAGTTTAAACCAGATTTACACTTTGATTCATAGATTAACATCTAAATCTCTTGAGTTTACCTATTTAAATGCTAAACCCTAACACTGGTTGTGTATTCTCACAGCTGTGGTTTCCTGCCACAGATTGTCTAAATTTTATCAGGATGACATTTTTTAAGCACAACAGAGCACCGGTGTAATCAGATGGAGAATTCTGAGGCTACAACAAATTAGAAATGGAGAGGGAAACAGTAGCAATGAGAGGTGGAGGTGGGTGCCCGTGGCACAAGAAACCGCTCAGATCATGTCACAGTTCGCATAGATTTTGTGTTGTCAGCTCTGAGTAATATGTCAGTATATGTTAATGGCCAGAAGGCTCATTTGTCATCCACTGTTCTTTTGATAGCTGCCAGCCAAGCTAAAGTCATTCAAGCATGCGACATTCTGTTTGTGTCTAGCAGGACAGATATTCAGTGCAGAAAAGCAGTGACACAGGAATTCAAAGGCCAGCAGTCAGATATGTAAATGTGGGTGTTTATTTTTGATTACTGGATTGTTGTACATGATCAGTGATCCCCATACAGACATCGTATGGGCACAAAAATGCTTTCTGTCTGAGCCGCTGATCCGCAGGTATTTCGAAAAACACTGAACAATGGTTCTTTCTCTCTGCATATAAATACTTTTAAGTCTGAGAACATTCGTGTGGGTTTCAGTTTTTATCATCGTGCTTTTAATATTTGAATAGAAATAAATATAATGAAAAAACTAGGAAAAGTTGCCACAAGGAAAATCCACAGGGATTAAACTAAAATGACTCGGACTAAGCAAAGATGAATGTATAAATAAGGAATGCAGAAGTTGTTCTTAAATTTGCATGTAAAAATCTTTTTTTTTACCTGCTCTTTATTATGCTTATTATGGAAAAATGAAAGAGAGAGGTGGATTTTTGGTGTATGTAGAAGAAAGAAAAGGTGAAAACAACAGCATTGATAATTACATTTAATAAAACGTCTGTGTCCTTGCTGCCTTGCCACTTGAATGGGAGTAAAAAGGTTATTTGCCAGCTTGCGTGGCTTCCTCACCTGGCAACATGGTTCACCACCGGGGCAAAGTTAGTTGGCCCGTAAAGCTGCACGGTCTTTAGACTCTGGTGGTATGCCTCTAAGATGCCCTCAATACCATTGCAGTAAGGATTTTCCATATTTCCATTCTAGAGAGGAGAAAAACAGTGGAAACCGACAGCAATTATATCATGGGCTTGGTGAACACATTTATCAAGCAAAGAAGCACCAAGATGATAATCATGCACAGATTTCATTAGCTGGTGTTTATTTGTTTACTACCGGGCCATGCACAAGATCCATAAATTTGAATAAATGCAATAAATTGGAAAATTTATTGGCATAATTCTGAAAGTTGCAAATGAAAAAGCATAAAATAGCCTAGATTAAAATCCACTGAACATATTAATCAACGGTGAAATGAGGTGAGGTTGACATCACCAGTGGAAACGCATGTGACACTCGTCCATCAGGGGGCAGTTTGGCTCCAAAGCCTAGAGCAGGGAACATCTTGTCACTGTCGTAGTCCTGAATGATCTCCCCGACAGCCTTCAGGGCCATGGCGTAGGCGTTCAGCTGGTACGGATTCATGTAGTGCAGTGACGTGGACTGAGATGGGTTACCTGTTGGGACAATCGTGGTGTATGGAGTGTAAAAATACGACTTCTACAACGCATCGTGTTGTCCCTGTGCATGTTTTCTGTAATAAAATGACACTGATCACAACGCTCTTTCTGTCAGGTAAAGCTGTCATCTCCAGTCCTCAGAGATGATACATCACAACCTTTAATTACCAAGTTTATGACACAATCAAGGGCAGTAACCTTCATAAATATTCCCACTGTAATAACACACCATAAAGTCAGTCAGTATTAGCAGCCCAGTTGTTTAGGTAATGTGCCATCACCAGTTGATTTCTTGTATGTGCTGTCTGATAGCAGGCATCCTGCTGTTTGCCTGGTCAGGCTGTGTACTGACAAGATGTAATATAAGTGAGCTTATCTTGGATTCAGAGTGTAACAGCAAATTGTATGTCACCTAGACAGACACCATGGTTGGAGAAATTGCCATCACTTCCCATTCCAGCACAACTGATATGTAATTTACAGTGATAACGGTGATAGATTTATCACCCAAAGGTTTAGCAATTTAGCAAACAATGGATTCTTAATTTCAGAGGAGTAGGCTTCTCATTTCTGACTGACAAAGACTGGCAACATTAGCTTAACACTAGGTGTGTGAATTGGCCGGAGAATCTGTCTTTGACTGGCTTTTTCACAGTGGTGGAAAGTAAGTACATTTACTCAATTACTGTACTTGTACTTGGCTGGAGTTGCTGCAGTGTAAGCTTTCCCAAATCCAGGACAAGTTTGTTCGCAGGGAAAGTAATGCTCCTTGGCCTTGGAAGTAACCTTAAAAGATAAGGCCAGTCATTTCTGTAGTAATAGTATTTTCAGCAATCTCCATAGAGAAACTAAAACAGATGATGAAATTCCTCTACTCACAGTTAATGTCTGTCAGCCCTGGATTAGCTTGTTTGTCTGTGACATAGACCTCCATTGTTGTTCAAAAACTATTAAAAACACACCTGGGAAAATCACCGGGTAACACTTTTTTTATAATGAAACCCCAGACCCGACTATGTTGCCACAAAGTCTCCGAGCGGCCATAACTTCCTGAAGTTAGCACGAGAGTCAACTGCACATGTGAGATCTTGTGCAAGCTCTCTGCTTTGTTTACATTCCACTAGCTCCTTGCACTCCAGTCTGGAGTTTGTTAATGAAGAAACATGTCACCCAATGCAGCGGTGGGGGTCACTGATGTTCTTAATCCTTTTTGAACAACAATGGAGGTTTAAGGCACAGGTGAAAAAGTTGATCCAGGACTGACAGTTGACAGTGAGGTAGAGGCAAATCGGTGTCCGTTTTAGTCTCTGTATGAGGACTGTTGAAAATACTGTTAATATAGAAAGTGACTGGCCTTACTGTTTAACACTGAGTTACTCTCAAACTAGCTAGCCAGACATGCTAACATTTGCAGCTTTATATTAAATAAAAAACACAATGTTTAATCCATTCCTTACACTTTTGCACTTGTGGTTTGAAAGGCTACAAAAATATACAAAGAAACAGAAACAGAGGTTTTCATGTCAACCTGAGGGGTTTACTCCACCTGTGCCTTATTTTAGTTTTCTTAAAATGCATGCCATAACTTTTATTTAGTGTGTATTGACAGAGCATTTAGAGGGAAGAGCCTTCCACTTATAGACGACAGTGTGTATATTTTGTGCGCCTGTACCCACTGGGTGGGGGTGTGTGTGTGTGTCTGTGTGATTGAATCTGAAATCGGACATGCCACACTCAGAGTACTGTGGCCTCACCGTCACACTTTACCCTTAGTATCACTCACCGTTAGATGCTGTGAAATCGATGGCCACAGTGAAATTGATCTGTGTTCTAAAAAGGGGATGGAGGGGAGGACATGGGGGAAAAAATCAGCATCAGACACCAGCCAGCAATAACAACATGCCAAGCCTCATTAAATCCCACTGCTCACATGGCCACACATATCCACATTCTTTGAGACATTAGAACATTATCTGTAAAACTGAGGAACATCATACACAAATTATGGCAATTATTTCTTATGATGATTTACTGTGGCTGCAAACAGATCAATATTTAATATTTTCACTGCAATTTCTTGTCTTGTTTTATGTCTGTTTTGTCTCTATCTGACTTTCACCTCCATGAGAAGGAGTAGCAGGACATGCTGAGAAGCCTCAGAGACAGTGAAAGGATTCTTGCACGCTTGGAGGTGCATTCCAGGAGCTAAATTTCAGCATCCCTCAGGAGGTACCGCTAAAATCAGGGTCCAAGAGCGCGAGAGGGAGGGTGTGTGTGTGTGTGTGTGTGTGTGTACACAAAGCGGTCGCCCTTGATTGGTTAAATGTCAGCATCTTCACACCTCAAGGACGGTGTGGAGACACACTCGGTGGTTGGCAGTAAAACAGGGACTTCAGTGAATGGACCGCGGGCTTTTCTGAGAGTTTGTGTTCTGCTTGTTCAACAGCTGTTTGATAAACTGCTCATACAGTCTCCAATACTGGGCTGAAGCATTGTGATCCTCGACTGACGTGTTGTGTTCAAGTGTGTGTGTGTGTGTGTGTGTGAGAGAGAGAGAGAGAGAGAGAGGTGCAGCCCCGCTCTCTTAAATGGAGACTCACACAGCGAAAAAGACTGTGGAATAGAAAAGTGATCCGCATTAGCCTGTGAGGTTATACTGGGTGATGGTTAAGCGAAATGGTATATACCGCTCGTGACGTTCTGACAGCAGTAACGCAGCTTGAGCTGGGTAACGAGCAATTAGACTGATGGAGCACTTAAGAGCAAATCATCATCTAATTTTAACAGCTTGATGAAGCACTCCCCTATTTTTGTTAATTTATGACAATGAGACGAGGCCTTGGGGGTGTGAACGACAGCCTCTCATTATCTGCGAGAGCCACCAAAGAGGAAGGAAAAAGAGCAGTAATAATATGAATGAGTTAAAGACTCACATTAACCTTTTAGTTTGGGATGGAGATAGATGGGATGCAGCCTGACATTGCTAACCTCAACATTCATTAATTTTGATTGTGCTGATTCATAAAGATTCTTCTTCAATGTAATTCAAATTCTAGGCTGGTAAAAGCTAAAGTTGTTGGTTTAATGAAGTGCACTAAACCATAATCAGTGCAGAGAGGCCGCTATCATTACGGTATATTCAAGGCGTATCTTGTCTTCTCGGTCCTCGCTCCTGCACTGCCCCACTGCTGCAGACTTTAAAAGTGAGAAAAATCAACAGTCTGACATTTCATTCCACTCCAGTCTACACTGAGGTGAAAATGCTTTTGAGCTATTTGAATAGCCAAATTATTCTTGTCCTGTTACGAGTGCTTGTCAAAGATGACCTGAAAGCTGCCAGAGTTCACTTTGCATCATGATGAAAGCTGTGACACCAAATATTACAGAAAAATGCTTGGACAGTTTAAGTGACCCTTTCCTAACGTTCACCTGTTTCCTTAAGAGCAAGCGGCTGCACATTCACAAGCAACGGCTCTCTTGACATGTTATTCAGTAAGTGCTAGAGTAATGTTAGAGGACAGAATGACAGGGATATTTTTTGAAGTCAGGCCACTAAACTTTAAGGTTATTGTATCATAGATCATCCAAAGCCAGGAAATGTCTGTGAAATCTCTCACACTTGTCAGCCATGCCACAGCCCATAAAGCCCCCGACAGCCTGCCCACTGTGATGGGACAGGGCAGATTGAAGCCCAGGCTGACCAGCATGTAAGGCATATTACACCTGAGAAACATCTGATATTCAGCTCAGCCTCCAGTGCTAAAACTCAGCTGAGGGCGGAGAGTTGGTAGGGTACCCTCTTTGAAGACATCAAATTTAAAATTTATTTAGCATTTTAATAACACAGTCGGCACCCACTGGGGACTTAAACATTAGTTTAACAAAGTTGCAGTGGTGCCAATATGTAAAAGATAAGGGAAGTGAAGTATGTGCTTTTTACACAATTTCTAATGGAGACTCTATAGATAATAGAGTTCAAAATTCTCATAAGCAACTCTCAAGATGATGACTTGTAATTGTTTCTGCAAGCAGCTGTCCTCACTATAAGGTCTGATAGACATACTGCCCAACAGCAGATATACAAAGTTACCAACCAGCAGTGGCTTTAACAGAGCCTTTAGCAGCTAAAGCCTCTGTTTTTGGACACCAAAACGGAGCTGGCCATAAACACGACTCCAGTGGTAATGTTGCTGTATGTTGTTGTATGCTAGCTTGTACCGTTTCCACAAAATGGCTTCTCACGCATGCAAATGGTCAGTCCAACTTACCCTCCTTTGATGTAATCTAAGAATGTGAACTCTGACTCCACTGAGAACGAGAGCAGGGTCACCTGGAATTAAAGACGAGAGGGGAGATCCGATTAAACACTGATTTTAGGATGCTCCTCTGAAATACAAAAAAAAAAAAAAAAATCCCATCTTGACTTGGTTCAGCACTTGACACTCTGGAAGACGATGAGAGCCAGCTGCTCTCTGATGAGTCATTTGCATTGCTAGAGGATGAGTTTGAAGAGAGGATGAGATGCATTTGTATGCATTACTTACACATGCCCATGCTGCTGGGTTCGTTTGCTTGAAAATTGGTGTCTCAATTGATCGTCGGTGTCACCCACTGTGATCTCTCAGATCATGTCTTTCAAGTTCTGTAGCACCTTCATCCTTCATTTTGTCCTACTTACATACTTTACTGCAGCCAGCTTTCCTCATCAACTACATGTCATATAGTTCTTTCAAACTGCTCAGGTAATGCATATACACAGAAACTATTCTTACGTCTTTTAGCCGAATCTCAAAACTGCTCATTTAACAAAACCTATTTTCTGCTTTCTAATATAATTGGTGTGTCATAAGAAAATTGTGTGAAAATGTATTTTTTTCTTTTCAGAACATACTCTCGAATTATTATTTTTTGTTACAAAAAAAGATGGAATAATTGAACTGAAGAGGAGTAGGTGTGGTGCAGAGAAGAGGCACAGTGCCAGTCCTGATTAGCTGCAGGAGCTCATACTCACTGTTCCAGAGTTGACATATTTCTTTTTCTTCATTTTCTTCTTAGTATTAATCACCTAAAAATAATGAGAGGTGCATGTCATCTAAAATGAGTACATAAGCACAAAATATTCTTAATATTCTTGTGGCTTTAGGCAAAAATATTATTTTGTGAATAGACTGTACATTATTTAGCCTAGTCTCTATGATATAACCGCTCAGTCATAACATAATGACCACCTGGCTAAAACTGTGTACACAGGAGTCAATGAGGCAATTGGTCAGAACTCATGTCACTCTGCAGCTCACTGTGCATTTTCTGTGAATCCATTTGCCTCAATAGTTCAGGAAGAGAACTAATTTCTCTACCATTCTGTGAAAAACGTATTTAGAAGGAGTGAAAACTGTGGTCGTGGGGATGAGTTAGAGGTAATGTTTGGACAAATTCAGCAGCCACCCCACTATATGTCTGATATCACCACTCTTCTCTTCATAGACATCATGTATAATGTTTCTTATTTTCAGCCAGTTTAACCAAGATTCAAACAAAGGATAAATGAAATCTGCAGTATGTCAACCTCATCATCAGTGAGCTGTGGGCGTCCATGACCCTGTTGCTGGTTCACTGTTTGTCCTTCCTTGGACACTATTGGTAGGAACCTAACCACTGCAGACAAGAACACCCAACAAGACCTGCAGGCTGGGAGATGTTCTGACCCAGTTGTTCAACCGTCACAGTTTGGCTCTTGTCAGTGTCACTCAGATCCTTGCTCTAGCCTGTTTTTCCTGCTTCCAACACATCAACTTTGAGGACGGAATGTTCACTTGCTCCCTAATAAACCCCACACACTGACAGGTGCCACTGTAACAAGATTGTCAGCCAGAATTATTCACGTCAAATGGTCATAATGTTATGGCTGATTGGTGTAAATGGGATGGACAAAATACTAATGTGCCAGTTCAACAGTGCCACTAACTATCTTCCAAAAATAATCACCTCTCTAAAACAGTTTTAGCAAAAACTGAACATTCTCACCTTCATAAAGAAATAAATTATTGTAGGACTGTTTTATTAGACTGCATTTGTTCTTGCTTTGTGTATGGTGCCTAATAAACTGACACCTGAGCATATACAGTACGTTTTTTCTCAAAGATGGAAGAGGTTTTGCCTTTAAAACTTAAGTAAAAGTATAATAAAGTGTGTATATATAATTAGCAACAAGTATTAAAAGTAAACGTGGAATGGTCCTTGTCAGTATTAACACTGCATTAACACTGATATATTAATAATGTATGTAATGCAATGTAATAATACTTCAGTGTTGTAGTTGCTCAGGGTGGAGCTACTGTAATTCTGACTGCTATATACAGCTGGCTAGTTTCTAATAATGCAACATTTTATCAACTGATCATAAGCTTTTATATGTTAATCTTTGAAGCACCCAGGTAGTAGGAATAGAGTGTAAGTATAAATTCACATAAGATTAGATTAGATTCAACTTTATTGTCATTACCCATGTATAAGTACAAGGCAATGAAATGCAGTTTAGCATCTAACCAGAAGTGCAATAACAGCAGTGCAGAGTGTGCAGTATCTACAGTCTGTACAGTCAGAACTCATTTCCAGATGGATATTTACAATTGATATTTACAGTAAGATATGTAGGGTAATGTACAATATACAACAGACTATGGATTCAAATTACAGTAATGGACAAAGTACATTAAGCTTATGGAACACTAGTGCAACAGGATGAGATGGGATGAAACGGTGCAGAATAAGAAGATAAGTTACATGAGTGAACAGCTCAATGGATGTAAATAATGCAGAGATAAAGATAAATATACATTATGAGCATATGAACAGTGTGCAAATGAATAACAGAGCAGTATTCTGTGAGTAGAGTATGTGCAAATTAACAGATCACTTCAGTGTTACAGGTAACAGAAGTGCATTGCATGAGTCCCGGGAGGAGAGATGAGAAGGTGATGAGGTGTGTGTAATGGTATAGAGGAAGACAGGGGGGGTCAACGGGGGACAGAGTTCAGTAAAGAGACAGCTGTGGGGAAGAAGCTGTTCCTGAGTCTACTGGTTTTGGTCCAGAGGTTCCTGAAGCGCCTCCCAGAGGGCAGGAGGTCAAACAGTTTGTGAGCAGGGTGAGAGGAGTCCTTGAGAATGCTGCGAGTGCGTCGGAGACAGTGTTCCCTGTGGACACCCTCAATGGCTGGAAGTGGAGTCTGTTCCCCACAAGTCCTCGTGATGTCTTGGGCAGTTTTCACCACCCACTGCAGGCCAGGCTGTTCTTCCAAACTGATTGATCAAGCCAGGAGGATATGGGAAGCTACTGAGAGACCAGTCTTCTTGCAAGTCTTTGTGGCTGAGATTAAGTGTGTGTGCATTATGACAACAATCTTTAAACAGAGCCGGTGTGTAGAGTTTGGTGGTGAGAAAGAAGCCTGTTCTGAAAAAGTGCCACACTGAGTCTGGTTTGCACTTTGTAAAAAAATATTTGGAAGTTTTTAAGACCAAGATTGAACTTATTTAACTCAAACTTGTCCGTTGTGTTTGATGAAAACCAAACATAAAACACCAATCAAAACATACCCTGTTTCCCTAGTTTTTGTTACCTGAATGTTGTAACTAAGGATATATAAATAAGGCAACAAAATTATTTTTGATGGGATTTGATTTCAGGCTGTAAGTGGAAAGAAATGTGACTGGTTTAAAGGGGTATGATGAATTTTCTATATGAACTGTATGTAGTTTGTAGACAGGATGAACAGTGGGGAGCAATGCAAGTAATGGAAATAATATCAAGGAAGGAGGGAGTGCAAGAGACTTGTGTGCATGAAGTAACAGATGGGTTTTATGGGAAACTGTAGCCCCATGTATGATCAAACATTCAAACAATGAATTTCAGCCTAAAGAAATGATGGGTGAGAGAGGCTTAAGGTGCAAGACTTGTATTTACTTTACCAGTATTGTACCAGCCCCAGAACAAGACAGAAATGTCAATCCAGAGACCTTTCAGCTCATTACCTCGATTCTCTATGGCTGCTAGGCATGAAAGTGACAGCCCCTAATTTAAGATGGAGGGATGGCAATTTGTCTGACACACTGAGCAATCTGCTGATGCAAAAGGTAAAGGGCCTTTCAGTCTCACTGGGAGGTAGAGAGGAATCAGAAGTAGTGTAAAATGGAACTGACATCCAGAAGACAAGTATTTGTTCTTTGCTTGAAGGCCACCAAACCACTGAGCATGGAGGTATCGACATGTTCTCTTTTCTGGTAAGATTGTGACTTTCGATTATTAAATGTTAGATTTTTGTTTTGGTTTTTGCTTTTACACAAGTTACTTTTCACTTGTAGTCTTGATACTAGTACTCCTACAGCTGTCACATTTCCCCATAAATTAACATAATTTCTGTTCTGAATGAAATAACTAGTGATGTCAATACACATAGGACACTCTTACATAATTTTCAGGCCTAACCCATCAACCTTGGAGTCTAGGATGAGGCATTTAAATGACTTCTGTTTGTAATTTGCATACAGAGCTGTATTATATGCTGTCTAGAGACACTGTAAGCTATCCCATGAGAAGCACTGAGAAATAGCTATGAACATTTTAAATCCCTGGATTGTTCTTCTATTACTTCTGTTTCCCACTACAGCTAATAACTCCATTTATATGTGTGTCTGTATCCAGGTGATCGTAGTGGCAAAATAAATCCTGGCTTTTAAAAAGTAGGACACAGGCAGAGGAAATATTTAATTGCATGTATAACTGCTTGGGGAAGGCAGGGAGACATGCATAAATGCCCTTTAAAAATTAAATTAGGAATGTGTAGAATAACTTTGTGACTCTTGAATAAATGCACTTGTTTGCAGCAACAGTAGAAGATACCCAAGGAAAAGAATGTGCTAAAGTAGTTGGAAACAGTGCAACAGTGATGGCAGCAATAGAAATGTAACTTGTGTCAGAACTGGGTTCCAAGGCACCCAGCAGACAGGGATTCCAGATCCCAGGAGCCCACAGACCCATTGCTGAACTGTGAAAACAGTGGAGTTGCTCACCTCGTATACATTGAATTGACTCTGCCCTCGAGCTAGCTCTCGGTAGCTGGTCGTAAAATCCCCAATGAAGTCATGGCTGTGAGAATAAAGGAGGAGAAACACTGGTGAGCATGAAAAATAGAAGGTACAAATAACAGGAGAGATGTTTGGAACAAGATGGAACTTTGTTGAAAGGAAATGATCAGTTGTTTGGGTAAATATTCTACCAAGCCTTTACCATAAACTCAGCTTACCTTTGACTTCATATTCCTTAACTGAAGATTGGTAAATCTCTAATTACAGTCGATGTTGAATTACAAGTTAAAGACTCGATTTAATACCAGTAGTGTCATGTCTTGGCAATCACACTCACCTGCCATCCCTATCCCAATCATACACCTCCACCTTGATTGTTCTGGAAACAAAACACAACAACCACACAATCAGGTTAGATTTTTAAAGTGGTATGCTAGCTGGCAAACAGTCTTATCATGATGTCCAATCAGTAGCTTTCACTACAGCTCTCCATCATACTGTACCATGTTATTCTCTTCAGTGGATGGAGTTTGCCCATGTGAGATGGAATTATAAATATTCCCAAATCAACCACAAGCCAACTAGGATGAGAAGTGTCTAAGAAAGCACTGTATTTAGTCAGACTCTCGCCCAAGCCTAAAATGCAGAAACCAAATAACCAATAACAATGATGCTAATGTGAAAGCGAGTAAAAAGCAAGTACATCAGCGACTTGACCATTTTTCCTGTTTTTGACACATCAGCATCAAGAACTGAATGTTCAGTTGCTGCCTAATAAACCCCACACACTGACAGGTGCCACTGTAACAGATAGTCAGTGTTATTCACTTCACCTGCCAGTGGTCATAACATTATGCCTGATCGGTGGATATGGCATCACCACTTTCCTCCACTATGCAAAAATGAAGCCGAAAGATGGTGAATACGGCGGCTGCCATCTTGCTTTTTTTGCAACCAGATTCTGCACAGTAACGACTAGAGGTGGAGTGACAGCATCGAACTGCCAATCAAAACTGTCAATTAAACTGAAATACACCTCTTTTTATATCATAAAGTAGCTTATTAAAAACAAACTTACTAGAAAAACAACCACTTGTACACATATCAGCATGATAATATCTACCAAAACCACAGGGGAATCGAGTTTTGGTGGCTTCACTTCGGGGAGCGCTCAGATCGAGGCTTGGCTTAAAATGTCACGGACACAAACACAGTATTTCAAACTGGAATTGAACAGTCGATTGTGGGATCGTCCTATGTTTTCTGATCGACCCATCCATCCCAACCTCCTAACTGAAAGAAGCTGGTCTTCCTTCATACTGTATACTGCATTAACAAATTCACTTAGTGGCTTGTGTCATCATTACTACGACCACTTGAGGTGTTCAAGGCCAAATACACACAGCTTATCATTACGGAGTCCTCTGGGTAAAATAATCATGTTTTGGTGTATTAATGACTAAATGATTCACTGATAGTTGATAAAAAATCATAGCTATTAAAACAAACACAGTTAACCTTTTGTAATATATTGAAGTCCTTTGATATCATTTCACTTGAAAGCAGAGAAAATATTTTGAAATAGTGCTAAGGAAACCCCAAAATCAATTAAAGTTGGTGTCACTTTGCTCAGATACTTGCCAGCTCCTGAACAAGGCTGATTTTTGCAAGAGAAAGAGTCAACTGGTATAATGTACTGTCTCTGTGAATTTGTAATTTGCAAACTACAGCACATGTCAACTTTCAACATTCAAAAGAACATCAGGAAAAAAGACACACATTGACATTTTACACAAATGCAGCAGAAACAGAAGTGTGTGTGTGGGGGGGGTGGACTTTTTTGACACTTTTATTCCTGAGTTACATTGATCTCACCCCTATGTCTGCCCTCTCTCCCCACTTCTTCTAACACAAATACTGACATCAGCCCAGATCCAAAGAAAATGGAGGCAAGCGGCACATCAGAGAGACTATCCTGTCACTGAGAAATTGAAAGATGCCTGAAATAAGCCCTGCTTCCTCCTTGCCACCTGGCCCCTGTCGTTCCATGGTGACAGTTTGTTCTTTTGAGGTTATCTTCAAGGCTTTAAGCTAGTGAAAATGTGCTTGTCACCTAGGTGGTAAAAACATAATGCTTCTCATCCAGTGTGGGAAAAGAGAGGGAAAGGGTAGAGGTAAGACTGCTGCATAAAGTGATAGCAGAAAAAAAGAGAAGGAAGCAAGAGCCAGGCATACTTCTCCTGACCAAGCCATATGCAGGAACAAAATATTATGCTAAGTGTAATGTCATATTGCTCAAATAAAGGCCATGGAAGCTGCCATCATGTCGGCTCAAAGCATTTGCTAACATTCTATTTCAAATCTCTGTGTCCTAACTTGCATGAAAAGGCTGAGGCATCAGATCCTTGAGTAGTCCCTTGAACTTTGGGAGCAGTATACACTCCAAAGCTAATCTGTTGCAGATAGTTTCATCTACTGTTCTAAGGCATAATGAACATGACTCATCTTCATAATGGAGGCGTATATAATTGAGGGAAAAAGGAGGCTACATTTGACACTGAATAGTTCTTGAGCTCCAACTACACAGATTTGTCTGTGATCTTGTGCCAGGGATGGAAATAGACTAGGTATGAGTCACCTGAGCCAGCATGTTAATGAGAAAGAGCTGATTCTTTCGATGTTTTCAATAAATTATCAGCATTAAAATACATACCTTAGGTACCACCTACACAGAGGAAACACAGTATTCAGGGACTGTGGGGGATGTGTATAGACATGGAGAAACATCAGTTGTTGAGCAGAACATATTTCATAAAACTTGGAAGCGCCTTCCGTTACATTTCTCTCTCGACACCTTTTCCTTGACACACATCTGGAACCAGATGTGGATTTTTCTTTTTTTCCTTCTGGTACACTGCAAGTTTACTTTCCTTTGCTGCCTGTCATTTGTTATTCTCCTCTCCTTCATTTCTCTTCTCGTCTTCTCGCCTCCTCTGCTATTAATTTGTTTGCTTTGCTTTCCTCCGTTTACACTTTCCTCATCTTTGCTAAAATGCAGTCCACTTCTTCCAGAGCTTAATGAATGTTTATATGGCGAGATGGATTTGTTCTAGGATACCTCAGATGCTTGCTGTCACCAGGGATTCAATTGGATCCTGGCACTTGAAGGGCAATCTACCTAATCACTGTGCCACACTGTCGCCAGCCAGCAAAGTTGGATAGTGGTGGTATTTTTATCCTTATCTCTGTGTTTGGATATATATTTAAAAGATTTCAAACAGTTCTAACCAAAATATAATAAATGGCCCTTGGCAGTGATTTAGATCTGGGATTTCCAAGTGTTGTTTTCCTAGCAATAACAAGCAATAGATTTCCTAAGGCAGATTTTGTGGTAAATTGTTGGGGGTCCAGTTTAACTGGATTTTTTTTTTTTTAGTGCAGATGCTTCATAGTTTTATGGATGTTTCCCCAAACTCCGAGTATTGAGATTTGTATGGTGGTCATTAGACCACTCTGTTTTTCTGCCTGATAAATGAAGTAATGTCATTGGCCGATACCCAGTGCATATCCAGTATCAGTGCTTACATTTTCAGTGTTAAAATGTTTATACACTGATGCGTGAAATTGTATGGGATCATTTTATGTGTGAGGCAACACAAGGCTACACATCATGTAAGGAAAATTGATCTCATATTTAAAACCTATCAGAACAAATGGTACTTTGTTCAGGCAGGAGGACTAGAATGCAGCAGTATTTGTCACATGCCTATAAACCAGCACTTATTTGTCTGGTTCATAAGAAAAAGTCATGCAGTCGATGGGAAAAATGCATCAACTGGTGCAGCAGAGACAACAGGCCTTTCCTCCCTTTGCTCCTTTTACAGGTGTAACTTGGGAAAGAAGCACAAGGATGTGTTTGGAAATCTTAAGTGCCCTTTGTTGAACTAGCTCCAACTTTTTCTTTTGCCCTTTGGTGAATATAATGAGGGCAACACATCCAAAGCACCGATCTAATTAGAGCAAAGTAAATCAGTAGAAGGTCATCCACTGACATACATGTGCAGGCTAGTACTCTCAACTGATAGAGGTGCTTCAGTGACCTCTCCAACATGTGCTGGAGAAAGTAATTATTGCCAACCCCTCCATGAGCAGTTGGAGCCACAACGCTGCCTCTCCTTTGAGATAAAGCTGCAATAAACACAGTCATGGTTTTTTAAACAAATAATCAGCATCTTGTGAAACTCTTCTTACCATTTGAAGTCATATAACTGTGCTGATGCTGTTTGATCAGATACTGAGCCCCACATCTAGCAAAGTCACAGAGGTTTTAGATGTATAAAGGAAGAATGTAACAAACCTCCATCCACCTGTTTTTATGCACATTTTCCATTTGCACATAAACAGGAATGCAAGTGCTGTATGAAAATAGTGTAAATCTGAAAAAGTCTAAACAACAACAAGATTATGCTTGACTGAAGTAGACAAGATGGTGCATTGATGAACAAAATATGGCAGCAAAGCGCAATGGAAATGGTGAATAAATCATGTTGTGCATGGAGCATATTGCTTCTGTCCTGAAGTTGTTTAAAGGCACCTGAATGGAGAACAATTCAACTTTTAATATTTACATAACAAAAGTGGATGAAACTGTACATCAAGTAAATTTTCTTTTGCTGACTTTCTGAAAGTTTGTTTAAAATTTGGCTAGAAACTTACGACAGTGGAGACCAGTGAAAGTGAGTTTTTGTCTGAATCTAAATGTCCACAAGGGGCCCCAAGCTGATCTTCTGTAGACTTTCACAGAGATGTTGCTCAATAATTTGTTTGTCATAATCTGTTAAACAGGTGCATTTTGTCTATTTACAAAATTGGGATCAGTTGAGGGTTTAATATGTATATAACATTAGCATTGCATATACCAATCACACTGTATGTGTCCTATATAATTTTGCTAATATCTATACAGTGAAGAACTGTTGAGAAAAATACTCTGAAATGGCTTCTAAGTTCTGACATATCACTTTATCTCCATGGAAACAGTCAAGGTCTTAATCAGGTCATATAGTGCATTTTATGCTCTTGCTGCCCAGCACACTTATAAAGTTGACAATCATGGTGAGCATGTCATGGTACCTATGAGTGGAGTCTGCAAGCTTGGGGGTGAAAGTTTGAATTCAGTCTTTGACAAGAACTCTGGGTCCTGCAGTGGACCAAAATGGCAAAGAGAACAATATTGCATGTCAAACTTAGCCTAGTGGTGTGTTTAGCCATGAGATTCAGGCTATTTGTCCAAGACTGGCAGGCTCCTGTCAAGGCAATAGTGGCTGAGCACTTCTTTTGACTGACAAACTTATCTTTAACAGCCAAAGAGATCTGATCTCTGTTTCATCTAAACATAGACCTTTGATAATGGAAATTGTTCCATAGTGATATTTGGGGCATGGACGCCACTTTTCAAATCAGTTGAAGCTTTCCTTCAGTTGATGGGTGTAAACAGTAATTTTATAATCAGAGGTACTGACAGCCTTAAGAGCTTAAGCGCATGAATACAGCTTGGATGATAAGGTACTATTGCAGAGGTTGATAAAAATAAGTTATTATTTTTGAGCTAGAGCGTTATGGACACAAAAGCAAGCAAACAATGACACGGAGTTTATTCCTCACCCACACAGTATCCAGCCTGTTTATAACACTATCTTGGTGATATTTCAAGACTTGCAGCATTTCAGGCTGCATAAGCATGTGGCATTTCACATGTTATAGTCTAACTCTGTGTGTCTGTGTTTGTGCATGTTTTTAAAATGTTGCATTTAGGAAGTGTTTTTGATCCCCAGCTCAGTCTTTTGTGCATGATTGGCTCTGACAGGATAGTGACCTCTTTTAGGCACGTGTGATTGGCTGGCTCACGCAGTTTCCCATAGTATTTCAACACATTTTCACTCCTAGTGCATCAAATACTGATGTTTTGTCAAGAACCATTTGCATCTAATACTGATGCTGCAGGGTGCCTTTGGTGTCCCTTAAGATGCTCTGGGTTTTTATTATAGAACAGCATTAGCCCACTTGTGTCAGTACAAAAAAAAAAACAAAAAAACAATGTGGTTATGTTTAGGCACAAAAACTACATGGTTAGATTTATGAAAATATCATGGCCTGGGTTAAAACTCACCGATTATAAAGCACTTCATTATACACTGGAGGTGAATTCTGCTCTCCTGCAGCAAATTTCAATGTTTGTTTGACCCAGCATCCACCACAGCCACTTTGGTCAGCCACTGTGGACTTTCTCCCTTCATCTAATATGACCTCATGCTTTGAGCATCAAATGCCAACATGAGTGGATACTGAACTTGAAAACCCTGTGCGTCACATAGGGATGCCAAAGGTAGCCGTCGGCGTCCATATGACACTCTAAAGGTGCTTGCATATTGTCAGTATTTGATGTAAATGAGTTCAGGCTGAATATTTCCCAAGTAGCAAAACATACAGCCATGAGACAACCTCATCGACCCCTTTCCTGTCTGTTGGTGTTTTTTGGGATTTATCTCAGTTTTCTCAAGTTTTCACCTTTCCCAGTAATTAGTTTGATGGCAAGCAAATAAAATATGACAGACATCTTATGAGAGCAAGATGAGAAAATCGGGAGAAGCAGAAAAAATATACAGTGTCACATGAAATATTTCCCACCACAGAAGTAATGTCTGTCTGCCCCTTTTCATCTTCCCACTCCAGTTCTTTCATGATTTAGCATGTTTTCTTCCAATCACTGTCTTTTAAATTATAGGCAGGCAGATAAGCTGCAAATAAGATAAGCTGAAAATTCAATTCCTCTCCCCTCTGGTACACCATGTCTACATTGTGGCCACTGAGAAGAGCAACCTTTCATGGTTTTATGGCAATGTAATCCAGTGTTTCAGGGGACAAAGGGTAAAAACAAAATGACAAACAGTCCAAATTATAATACCATGTATTCAAATAATTTTTTGAAAAGCACATTCCTTCACTATATCTGGTTTCTTTAAATAAGTTTATTATATTAACTTAATATTCTAAACTATGTCCCCCAATCAAAAGCACGCCTCTCATTTCTAGTGAATGGCCATCAATTTCAGTGAAATGACAACTGTTGCAAGCAGATTTAATAAGCTAGCTAGTGTAATTAAAGGTATGCTTTTTCCATTACTAGAGTGCAATCCAAAGCTAGTGTTAGATGATTAACAAGTCCCAGCTCAATGGCATCATTTCAGCAGCGCAATGTCACAAGAAACTTCACAAGCAGGTCAGCGGAGATTAGAAGAGGCTCATTGTGCCAGACCTCTGCTTTTCTAGCAAAGATCAATCCAGGGGATTGTCCTAAGCACACGGCTGTTTTGAAATTATGTGACAGTAGGAAGAATGGGATGCTTTACACATCAGCATGTTGAACCGGTATTGATTTATGGCAGTTAAACTTATGTTGTAGTAATAGCTGTCATCAATATGTCAGAGAGATTCTCATTAGAGCAATGAACAAAGCTGATAGTCAATTATAATCAGGAAAGGCAGAAGATATCAACGGGACCTTTACTGACTGTTCAGTATGGGGTGGGGGCCATTGCGGCAGTGGAAGATAAACAAAAACTTGTGGAACAATGGCAGGTTGCATTGTACTGTACCTGTCATAGTCTCCGTTGCAGAGTGCTCTGACTGGGATAGTGAAAGGCTGCCATACTGGATTTAATGTGTTCTTCACCACCTCTGTTTTATGGCAGATAGTAAACCTAGAAGAGAAGATAAAAGGCAGAAAAATAAAAATGATTGCTATTTCTCAATTGTACAAGCCAGAGACAGGGGACTGTGAAAATGAGGGGAGGAGCATGCAGCTGAAGAGGTGACAGGAGGGACAATGAGAAATCCTACAATGACAGGAGATACTTTAAATAGGGCTGTACCCAGCTTTGTTTACTGTTTGGCCTGTCTCCCAGCTATATTCTGTTATAGACACAGAGAATAATTTAATATTTCACTGTGACTTTTAAATCCCTCGACCACAAGTGTGACATTGATATGCAAATTAATTTCTCAGATATCTAAAATGATTCATAGAGCAGAGACATGTAAATTCTAAGACATATCCCCTCAGAAAGCAACAATGCATATACCTTTTTTTTTTGCCCAAAGCCTCAGATTACTTGTGCTCCACTAAGTGCTTCAAGCCTTTTCAAATCCTGTTAGTCCTTTAGCCACATAGCCATCTAATTTGTCCCCCAACAGCAGATACTTCTAGCACGTCTGTGGGGATCCACTTCCCAGCCTGTAATGTATTTTTTTAAAAACTGAGAAGGCAGCTAACCAAACACTTGCTAAAGCATCTCTGGATAGATAGAGCTGATGCTGCTACAAATGCAGAGCCCCATGGGAGGCTGAACTGCACTCCGGAAACGTGTGAGGAGAGTGTTATGCATCCCTACGTGAACTGACTCAGAAACTGTTTTTCTTATTGATGGAAAAGGCAGATTTTATGTTTTTTCCTTTTTCTTTTATGCTTTTTACATTACCTGCTTCTCGTTTGTGTTTGTTCTCCTGCAGTCTTTTATGTGCAGGTATAATCATGGGAGTTGTGGTTGTGTTGTGCCTCTGTAGCCTCTTAAGTTGTGCATGGCTCCATAACCAGTGCAGTTCACCTCTTATGCCATATTATTATATTTTTCTGTACTACATTGCATCACCTCCTCTTCCCTATTGTTTCCACTGGCATATTTCATTATTTTACTGTCACCTTTCTGAAATTGTACTTTAAAGCTAATTGATTTTTCAGGCTCTTAAACTCTTTCATGCTGCATTAAGAAAGACAACTTAATGCCTGACAAAATGCAGCAACTGTGGTGGACAGTAAGTGTAGCTTTTGATCACCAGGACTGTTGTATGTCTCAGCAGGCCTCCTCAAACACCTGCACCTTCATTCAAAACACTTGGAATGAGGAGAAAAAACCCCATCAAGCACTCACGTTCCATCTTCATTGCTTCTGTAGAAGACCATGAAAGGGTCTGACTTGCCAAAGAAGTCCTTCTTGTCCAGCTTGTTGGCACAGAACTGCATAGTGGCACTGTCCTACATGGGGAGAAGAGTGAGAGATGGTTTTAGGAGGGGGGAAGGGTGTCATAAGCTCATCACACAGTTAAAGAACAGTTGATTATCTATGCACCCTATTTGGTTCTTCTTCCCCTACTTTTTTCTCTTTGATCTCCACAGCTTACAGTGGGACAGCAGATGGAGGCAGCGGTCTGTATGGCACAGTAAGATAATGAATACTGCATGCTGGAAATGCAGGAAGAGACAGGAGTTTTGTTGCGTGGGTATGTGTGTGTTGTCGCTAAATTTAGGATATTTTATTTTTCATCGAGGAATATGCAATAGAAGCTTTTTATATTTTTATTATATTTACATCAGAGTGACAAACATTAGAGCAAATTGTTCAGTCCAAGATAAAGGTGTGTGCACAATGATCCGCTCATAACAGCTAGTGCAGTAAAAACCACTGTAGCAGACCTGGCAGAGTGTAATGGTCATTACACACAAGAAAAGAAATAGTCAGATAGTTTTGTTGTTTATATTTTTGCTGCTAATGGAGCAAATAATGTAACATTTGATACCAAGATTGAACTTGATCATTTAAGTAGCAGCTATTTTGGCTTAGCTTATCAGGCTTAGCTCTTCTTCATTAGATTTCTCCACACTATTCTTTACTGTAAACTGTACGTTGATAGCATTAACTCGAAGCACAGCTGTACTTTGAACAGGGTCTAATACTTTGTAAGTTATGATGTTCCAGTGAACTAGTAGGATCTACCCCTCCAACAAATCAAAAGGGTGTTGAACTTCTCAGTGGGATTGGCACTACGAGTAAACAGATTCACTGTACATATAAAAATTGTGCAGTGGAGATTTAGGTTGAGTGGCACTAAAATGGGCCTCTTATGCCATTGTGAAGGAACTGAGGGGGTTTATTAGCTTAAGCTAATGTGTGATATTCAAAGTTAAATTACATGATACAGCAGAAGACCTAATAATGTTCTGGTTGGGTTCGATGCTGGGTGACTATTCTGGTCTCTTATGTCAACATGTTGCATCAGTGCTGCCATGGGTCACCATCTACCTGCTGGAGCACAATTAGTTTCAGCAGGGGCAGGGATGTAAGAATAGAAGGCCTCGGTGTTCTGTCTACAGCGTACATAAACACACTCTACACACATGCCCACAAGTGTACGGTAATAAAAATGCATGATGGAAAAAGAAATGAAAGCTCAGAACTATTTCATGAATCATTTATAGAAATATTTTCACGTATTTTTGGAAGTGTTTTTTTTCTACTATCTGTCTGAGGATGCGCGCGTGGACCTGTTTTTTCTATCTGTGTTGTGTGAATGTCACCAGCTCACACTCTGAACTACTGGCAGTCAGCCTACAATACACTCTAGCTTTATCTGGTTACACAGCCTAATGGTCCAGCAAGCGTGTGTGTATGTGTGTGTGAGTTTGCAGTTCGGCATCCACCCACCAGCAGTCCTGCTAAGATTAGTGCCAGCTCCTTACCAAGTCTAATTCTAGCATGAGAAATGGTCATCAAGCCAATTTCTTCTGAAACCTGTCGCAGCATCTGGAAAACATCAGAAGCCTCGAGCCATGTCAACCTCAGAGAAACACCAAGCACACTTTCTGCCTTAGGCTTTCTTTTCTAATACATTTTGATGTTTACAGTTTAGGACCATATCCAGAACTTTCAAGTATTTTTCAATTTAAAAGATTAAGACATAAATTATAGCAATAGTTTCTCCTTCGGGAGTTATTAAGCAACAAATCAGATCAATCTGTCTCATTGGGAAAATATTTTTAAGTAATTAGCTCTAAATTAAAGCTGTAAAAAGATTACTTTTATTACAAGGCTTCTGTTATCAATCATGGTGGTTAGTCCACAGCCTTATACTATGTTCTAGCCAGATTAACATACTTCAGTGTATGGATTAACCTCAGTGGTGGAAAGTAACTAAGTACATTTACTCAAGTACAGTACTTAAGTACAGTTTTGAGGTAACTGTACTTGAGTATTACTTGCTATTTCATACTTTGACTTCACTTCATTTTAGGGGTAAATATTGTATTTTTTACTTTACCATATTTATGTGATGAGTTTAGTTACTAGTTCCTTTTCAGAATCAGATTAACTATACAAAATACTTTATAATCATCTGACTTTATTGATACCTGGTTGGAAATTTACAAAATCCCCAGCAGTACCTCAAATTATAAGCATGTAAGGTAGTTAAAATGAATGCCAGCCATACCATCTGCAGTGATGTACACAATGTGTCAGTAATTATAATACAATAATATGATATATATTCACGTGAAATGTGCTATTCTGCTTGATGGGTACTTTTACTTTTGGTACCTTAAGTATATTTTGAAGCCATTACCTTTGTACTTAAGTAACATTTTGAATGCAGGACTTTTACTTGTAACAGAATGTTATTTATTCTGTGGTATTGTTACTTTTACTTAAGTAAAGGCTCTGAGTACTTCTACCAGAACTGCTTAGCCTCATAAGGTCCTTTCTTTATAACAGCAGTTTAGAACCTGCTGCATGGTAAAGTGTTCATTTATAGTGACTTTTTGCATCAGTGCAGTGTGTCAAAATCACATATTTAATTGAAATAAAAAAGACAATTTTCTTATTTGGATATACAAATTTTAATTAAACTCTGTGGATTAAGCTCAGGGGAGCACAGTGCTGAGGTGGTTAGCAGTGTCATCTGACAGCAAAGCAAACCAAAGACACACAGGTTGGCTGAGTTGATGACTGTAAATTGCCTGTACATATGAACATGTGTCTGAGCGGTTGTCTGTCTATGTGTCAGCCTGGTGACGGACTGGCAGGCTGTCCAAGGTGTTCGTCGCCTTTCACCCAGTGTTTGCTGGGATTGGCTCCAGTTCCCACCACACTCTACAGGTAAAGTAGTGTAGATAATGGATGGATCGATCAATGCAGAGATGTGAATGTCGTTCTTCTTTAATTACTTGTTCTTCTTCCTTGTCAAAGTCTGGTGCGTGCATTACCCACAGTGTGACTCTTACTGCCAAGAGTTCAATCATAGGTTTGGGTGTTTTATAATAGTGGTGGCTGATGTTTTATTATTATTATTATTATTATATACACTAGTCTCAAGCAGAGATGAGGAGCAGGCTACAGAGGTCTGGTAACTTCACTTCTTTCTAACTTCACACCCCTACAATTTTAATTTAATTCTCAGATGTAGTTTTAAGCCCCGACTGATGCTAATATTACTTGAAGCAATCAATGAGATTTCATCTAGATTCCTCAGGAGCCACAAATTGATGATTCCCCTTGGAGGTTGTGATGAGCTCACAAATCAGAAATTGCTGTCCAGTTGTTGCCTCTACAACTAAATATTTAAAATAATTTTTAAACCATAAGCATGCAGTGATCATCTCTATAGCCATTTCATGTTCCCCTTTGAGAACAGCATCTTTCTTCTATATTCACAAACTGCCCATTGCATGACTTCATTAAATCTGAATTAAAGTATAAAGCATTTCATATTTTATCACCTGGGTTCCTAAGCTATAACTGAAGTGATTGCAGTTACAAATAGCAGCTTCAATTTTCACATTTAATGGGTCGAATTGCATTGTACTGTCATTAGCATGGCAACGATTAATCAGTTAGTTTTTTATGCACAGGGATCTATCTATATGAGGAATTTACTGCGTCTGAAGGTGACTCAAGGCAATTTTGGATATAAAAGATACAAAACAATACAATGAAAAATATTATATATTCATCAAATAAATCAAAACCAGCAGCAGATGCTGAGAGATTTATTTCCACTGCAAACCAGTTCTTCCTCTTTCATACACTAACAAATAAGCCTCATGTGCATTTTCTCCACTAGTTGTTTGTCATGCAACATAACATTTTTACCGAACCCAAAATATAAATCACTTGCGCTGTTGAGGCTTGTACTACTTGTGTGCTATCACCCCTCCCTGGTCTTGGCTCTCCATGTGTGGTGCCAGTGAAGGGAAGGGACCTGACTTATCTCTGGCATATTGGCTGTAACTAATCTCTGAAACACAGTGGGTTCATTACAGTACATTCACATACAATAACAGTAGACTTTTGTTGTTGTTGTCAGAGCCCAAGGCCTTAACACTGGGCGGCCGCAGTGCCACTAATGATGGCTTAATAGCTTTTTAATGTTGCAGCTCACACCTCGTGTTTGGCTGCGTGCCACGTTGCAAATCAAGAAAAGAATGTGTGTGAGGATGCAAGTGTGACAGACTGTATGCGAGAGTACAAGCAGAAGTGTTTGTGGGCACATATGCCGTTTCTCATTTTAATTCCTATATGCCACGGAGTCCTTTCTGTGTCTTTATCACACACAACCAGGCAGTGTGCAGCACACATTTCCTCTTAACACACTCATGAACACATCCACTCCATTCCAGCAGTGAGAGGAACTTTATCTGTATTCTTGCCCTTACCCTGAGGACACATACTCACCACATGTCTCCTGTTTGACACATCCCTCCTATGCAGAAAATCAGTCCTCACTTTATCACTGTTTCATTCTTTTAAAAACACTCCTTTAATCCTCTGCAGGGATGTTGGCTGCCGCATCACTCACTGATTGACAAGCAGCTCAATGCTTATATCGTTTGACCTATGAAAGTAGAAATGTTTTCTGTAGCTGTTTGTGGGGGTTTTCTTGTCTTCAACAAGTGGCTGACTCCAACAAGTACCAACTGTGACACGGTACTCTTTGTACTCATGAAAACAGCTGCACTGCAATAAATTGCACTGCAACACTTATGAATAAAAAAAAGAACCAACTCTAAAGACAAATTGTAATGAATGCTTGTCACTGCACCAAATACAAGTGAAGAACGAAATAGCCATAGGTCAGGGACTCTCTTTTCACTCCTAAAGACGAACTATAGTAGTTGAAATGATCAACTCTGCAAAAGAGAGTGAATCCATGCAGACAAAAAAACCAAGATTGTTGGTTCGTAAGTGAGGTTTGTCAGCAGGT